CCCCGGACGCCCTCCGCGCGCGCTGCGAGGCCCTCGGGCTCGGCTCCGCGGGCTACGCGGCCGACCTCCGCGCCCTCGCGACGCACGAGACGCGGGTCTTCGGGCTCTGCTGCGGCCACCTCGCGCGGGACACGCACCTGCGGGTTTTGCTGCTCGGCGGGAACCGCATCGGCGACGCCGACGCCGACGACGCCCCGGGCGCGAAGGAGCCGGGGGAGGACCACGGCCGCGACCTCGCCCCTGTCCACGCCCTCGCGCGGATGATCGAGGCGAACGAGCACCTCTGGGTCTTGCAGCTCGGCGACAATCGCCTCGGGGCCGGCGGGATCGGCATCCTCGCTAAGGCCCTCACGCGGAATATCGCGCTCGTGGAGGTGGACTTCTCCGATAACGAGCTCAACGTCGATTCGCTCTCCGAGGCCGAGGAGGAGCAGCTCCAGCAGGAGATCGAGGACCCGGTCTTCGGGCCTTTTTATCAAGGCCTCGAAGCCATTAGCGAGGTGATTAAAAAGAATAAATTCTTGCGCATTTTGCGGCTTTGTCGGAATGGGATTCATGCCGGGGAGAAACTCTCTCTCGAGGCACCCGACGACGAGGACGACGACGCCGAGAACCTCACCGCCGTTAACGGGGGTGGGGGAGCCTTGAATAATAATACGAATCATCAGCATCCAACCCGTAATAGTAACACTAATAATATAAATGGGATTACGGATCCCACCACCTCCACAAACCTGACAACGCCGGATTTTCGAATTAAGCTGCCAGAGGGGACTTCTTACGGGGATTTGACGGAGCCCTGGCAGGATCTCCCGCTCTGGCGCCTGGTGGAGCCTTTTCGCCGGTTTCATAAACTCCAGGTTTTGGATTTGGCGGGAAATCAACTGCGGGATAGTGGGGCCCGGATGCTCGCCCTCGCCCTCGCGCAAAACCACTCTCTGCAGGTGCTCGACCTCACCGACAACGAGATCGGTTATAATGGTCTGCGTTATTTAGCCTCTTGGGCCCTTTCCTCGCCAGAGAGCGTCCTGCATACGTTAATTCTCCGACGGAACGCCCTCTCGGGGACAAAGGCGGAGAAAATTAAGAGGCCTAAAGTTCCCAAACCGCAGGCCTTAGTCGCGATGGGGGCCTTCGCACAGGCGATGCGGGGGAATCGCCGGATTCGTCGGTTGGTTTTGTCCGATAACCACCTCGGGCCGGCATTGAGTGCGCGTTTGCTAGAGACAATCGCCCACGCAGAGGCTTTGGTGGAGCTGGATTTTGCAAACAATGATGCCTGCGGGATGCTCTCCGACCCACCGGATACCACAGCTGCCCAACACGTCGCCCCCACCCTCGCGCGAAGAGAAAGTCCTTCTTCGTCTTCTTCCTCATCGTCGCCTTCGGGATGTTCGCTCATTAAATTAAACTTTAGCGGGAATAATTTAGGCGCGGGGGGGTTGGAGGTGCTTTTGTCGCCGCCGCCTCGCGTAAATCCTGAGGAAAAGAAAGAAAATGACGAACCGCATGAAGAGGAGGGGGATCCTTCGTCGGTGGAGCTGCCGTTATCGTGGTCGTTAAAAGAACTGGATCTCTCGCGTAATCGCCTCGGGGATGCCCTCGGGCCCCTCGGCCGCCTTTTTGCCATTCCACATCCACATCCAACGGGCGAAAACGAGGCCGCCCATTCTAATTCCAATCTCTCCAATCCCATCACGACGTTCGCGAACTCGCTGATCGCCTTAAATATCGCGCATAACGAAATTACCTCTCTACGGGAGCTCACGCCGGGGCTTTGCGCGGGAATGGCAAATCATTCCGCGCAGTCGCCCTTTTCCCTCAGCTTGCTCGACCTTTCGCATAATCGCCTGGGCTGCGATGAGGGCTGTCTGGGGTTGGAGGTACCGCGAAGGCCGACGGGGCTTTATTCACCTTCCACATCGCCGTCCCGAACTACGCCTTCCCCTCCGCCACCGCAGGCGAACCCTTCCACAGAAGGGAATGCGCATCGCCCCTCCACCAATTTGATCCATCGCAGTTCAAATATGGAGAATTTTCATCCGCATCGGATGTCTACAGGGGACGAGATCGTGCGAAAAGCGCAAGAATGCCATCTCGCGAGCTTTATTGAGGCTTGCGTGGCCTTGGCTTTCCTGCCTTCCCTCACTAGCCTCGACCTCAGCTGGAATCATCTCCGCCGCGTCCACGGCGAGGGGATTTATCGCCTGATAACTTTTTCATCCTCCGGTTCGCCCGTGTCGGGGTCTTTTCCGGATTTTTCAAGGCCTTCGCCGAATTTTTCGGGGTCTTTGCCGGACTTTTTCTCCGCCTCCTCGCCGGTGGAGGCGTTGGTGAACGCGACCTTCGCGTCGATGTCCCCGCGGGCGGATCATCGGCCCTTCGAAAGGCTGCAAAAAATTGACCTCAGCGGGAATACCCTCGCGGGGCCTAAACTTATGCAAAAGATGGTTAAATCCCTCGCGCGGTTTCCCCAAATGGCGATGATTTATCTCTCCCCCAGCGAGCCGGTGAGGGCATCGGAGGAGGTTTTGGCCTCCCTGAGCGTTATCCACGACGCGGCCCACGCGAACGGAGCCCTCCAAGACGTCCGATGTGGACTTTACGGGGTGGGTACCCTTCCCGCGCCCGACGCCGTCCTGGACGAGAAGAGCGCGGAAGGGGAAACCCCAGACGAAACAAACGCGGCTATCGCGGCGATTCGAGAGCGGTTTTTACTTAACGCACTTCTCCACACCGAGACGAGAGAAGGCGCCCAAAAGTAAAGGAAAATTTCCTCGCGTGTTAAAATTGAAAACAAAAGGAAAACGAACATTGACAATGTAAAAAAGAAACTAATTTCTATTTCTTATCATCGTCTGCTTATGCATTGCTAAAGATGGATAAGACTATGTAAAGTATATATACTCGACTATAATGGTGTGAGAAAAAGCCAATAAATTTGGTTAGTATTTTTTTGGAGGGCAAATCCATTAATCAAACGAGCTCAAAAAAAAGGTAAACTATCCGTTTCTTTATTTCTTGTTGTTGAAATGGTGTTATTTAAACTTGAACCGGCCTTCTCCCCCTTTATATATGCACAAAGGAATCTCGTAAATAAGCCAACCAATAAATTTTAGATAAAAAGGGCGTGCGTGTGCGTGTGATTCAAAGGCAATCAACCACAACGACCTCACTACGAATCCCACTACTAACAAAAGCCTAGGGTTCATTTGATTGACGGAAGAAAGACGGGCTCTTTCGCGTTCTTTTTCCTTTTTCCTTCTCCCCTGTTTCGGGAATTCCGCGTGCGCTCACACCGGGCTTCAACAGCAGCCCCGTTGCAACACTAATCGCCCTCTGCAAAGACTCATCTAAAGGCCCCCCTCTCGGATACCCACAGACCCGTACACCGGCCCAACAACCACAACAATTGCCGCCTCTTTTTCATGCGGATTGAGCAGTGTTCCTTTTGCGGGGCCCCGATCTACCCCGGGCACGGCCGCGTCTTCGCCCGGAACGACTGCCGCGTCTTCCGCTTCTGCGCGTCGAAGTGCGAGCGGTCGTTTGGGATGCGGCGGAACCCGATGCGGACGCGCTGGACCAAAACCTTCCGCAAGGCCCACGGGAAGGAGCTCAGCATCGACGCCACGATGGACTTCGAGCGGCGGCGGGATGTCCCGGTGAAGTACAACCGCGAGCTCCTCGGGACGACCCTGGCGGTGATGAAGCGGGTGGAGCGGGTGCGCGAACGGCGTGCCGAGGATCTTTGGCAGCGGCGGATGCGCCGCGCGCGGGTGCAGGACCAACGCGAGGCCACCAGCGCCCTCCACCACAACATCGACTGGATCGAGGATCTCGAGGTCAAGCACGCCGCCCGGGATGACCTCGTCGCGATGGGGCAGGAAAAGGAGGCGAAGCAGACGGCGCGCCGAGAGGCCGCTCGCAAACGACGTCAGCGCCAGCGCGAGGTGGAGAAGGCGAGCGGGGTGGGCTCCGCGACCTCGGCAAAGAAATGGTAACTCCCCCCACCTTTCTCTCCCCCCTCCTCCCCCTCCTTCCTCCTCCCTTCACACACACACAAAAAAGTGTTTAAAGGTTGAATAATAAAGAAAATGAAAAGCAGAATTCTAAGAGAAAGTATCCAAAAGGTGGGTGCTTTGCTTATTAGTGGAAGTAGCTTGTTTGGTGTTTGGTATGCTTTGTTAATGCTTCAGGAAAAAGAGGGCTTCATCGAATGCACTCATGTGTAGTCTTCACTACGGAAATGTTTCTCTTCAGAGGAAAAATCGTTTAGTTTCAACAATATGCGATGCAAATTCGGTTTCCCTTTTTTCAAGCAGTAGGGATTGTTGTGTAACTGTTAATTTTTTTTGGTTTATTAACACCCACACGTGTGAGCTTGTGTACGTACTCGTGTGAGACAATTGCAGCATAATCTCGATTAAGGTTCATAATTTCATTACAACCTCACGTACGGTGAGAGTATCTTTTCCAATGGAGTCGTAGCTTCAAAAAAAAGATTTCCTAATTGATTGTGTGTTACTGCAATTTTTGAACTTGATATATAACTCTTGTCCTTTTCCCTTTCATTCTTTTCTTTGTGTGCGGTTCGTTGTCTGTATATGGTCGGTTGAAAAGAATGATGGTAGGGTAGAAAAAGGGTGCAATTTAGAACAAAAAAATATTGCTTTTTGCCTTTTTATATCACTGTAGAAGTCGTTACCTTTGGGTTTTGTGTGGGTTTTTTTAACTTACTTACCTAAAATAGACAACTCCAAGACATAAATTTAGGTAATCTCAGGCCTTCAACTACATCCCACCAATTTCAAGAAACTTTTTATTTTTATCATCAGAGATCTTCACAATTTCGTATTTTCATTTCCCAAACAAAACATTCCTTACTTCATAACGTTATATATATGAATTGAAATAGATGGTGGTTCTTACTCGATCACAATCAAGGCAGCAAACCCTTGAGCGCGCCCCTTCATCATCATCTTCGGTGAAAAGCGTCAATCCAGACATAAGAAATGGGGGAAAAGGAAGAAAAGAAGTGGATCGTCCAAACTATCTGGCTAATAATGCGAATAAAACTAATATCAGAAGAGTAGATCCGGTAGAGACACCGAAGCGGCGATCTCTGCACGACTTACTTCTGGAAAGCAATAATATCTCGAAAGTAGGGGAGCGATTAGGCCGAGGGTGCCGGATTCAGCGCGAGACGCAATCCCTCGACGAGGAGTACCTTCGCCACTCGTACAAAGGCGGGTTGGAGAGGACGGAGCGGCGCACCGGCGCGCCGGACCAGCCCTTCCTCATCAACCGACGCTATCCGGAGCGGGAATCCACCAAGAACCAAATCCTCGAGGACTTCGACGCCTCCAGCGAGGACGACGAGAGCTCGGGGGAGGATAGCCCGGGGCGTTGTTCGTCGCGCCCGGCCAAACGCCCGGCCGGGGGCGGCGGGGAGTACCACTTCCGCCACCACCCGGAGCTCGCGCGCGGGCTCACGGCCGACGCCGCGGGCGACACCGACGCCGACGACGACGACGACGACGACGCGACCTCCACCCCCTCCTCGGCCTCCGCCGAGCCCGCCACGAAGAGGGAAAA